TTTTTTTAATTCCGGAGCAGGGCTGTAGGGTATCCATTGATCTGGCACACCAGCGCTTTTTCGCGGTCGAGTTTTATTCGATCTGTTTTATTCATTGATTAGTCGCGGAGACCTAAAGAGCTGCGTCTTACTCAGATCCGTTCCGGCAACCGTGGTAATCATTGGAACAGATCCTTCATGACCTCTGACCTCTGCGTTCTGACCAAAGTACACAGGGTCGTGTTAACCTGACATCATTTGCTAGCATCTGTCTTTTTGTGTGCTTGTTTGCGTGAACCGTGCAAACGAAGTCATGCTAAGGAATGGTCAGTCGTTATCAAGACAAAAAGCCTGGAAACATCACAAACGAGAGATTCAGCTGGGTTCCAGGTAAGTCTCTCGCAAAACCAAATTGGTTTGCAAATGAGTAAATTTCGCTAACCTAAAAATATCATCTGCTAGTCAGCTCGCAAAAATTCTGACGATAGTGGAGCTTTATGTGTGGAATTCAACAATATCGAAAATGGTCAGCGCAGTTGAGCAGTTGTGGGGATGAGAAATGGATGGAAGAAATACAACGTCCATTTGAAACCTCATCCTCATACAAGCTTCATCCTTATTCAAGCGACGTTTGTAAGGCATTTTCAAAAACAAATTGTTGTAATCCTTTTTGTACCGATGGGATTGAGGTGTGAGTGAAAGCAATGGGGTCAGATACGTAAAACGGAGAGGGCACAACCGTACGTGGACAGCAGGGGATTGTGATGAGGTTAATTGCCAATCACATAGAATTTGATCCGCAAAAGTGTAGATACTACTCAGTCGACTGACAATGAAGCTCTTGTAGATCGTGCTGTTGGCTGCTGTTAGTAAAGGAGGGTAAATTTAATTTCAGTAAACTTCAGATTATGCTCCGTTCCGAGTCACGGACACGTTGCATTCAACCATGTCGAAGTCACCTAGGATGTTCCTACCTAAAACTAACTAGGTCACCAAGATTTCCACGAACACGTAGTAGTGATCTGTTTCCCAAGTGAATTTTGATGCTCTGACTAGTCCATGCAATCCATTTCCCCAAGCCAGAGAGATCCCTAAACTTTGCCTAAGCTAGAAATTTCAACCCTGCTTTCATCACTAACTGCCTTGTATCTTGTGCGGATTTCTCCCACAGCCTTGTGTATTAAAACTTGACAAGGATATAAGAAAAACCACCCGCACTTTTTAGGACCTCTGCGTTGATTTCCATCCGAAAGATCCGGCTGATTTCACACCGTCCTGTGAGCAATCTCATCATGGCTACTTGAAATTCGCGTAAACCGCAAAACACGACACATATAGCTGATAATTAACAGAAGTGTTGTTATCTCGTTTGGATGGGCGGTTTTCTGCTTGTTCACTGCGATTGACAATTTCGCGACTAATTCCAAGGAGAATGATCGAAGCCACTGGGAATCTAGCAAAGGACAGACAAGTGGTAATCTGCGCTTCTTTATGTTGTTTCCCATGGGCTAATTCACGGCTTATCGTTCAGCCAACTGAATGACTGGACAGGGCGTCTATCCTTCGCGTTTAGCATGATAAATGTCACCATTACCCAAGCCTATGTCGCAAGGTGAAGTACTTTCCATGACGGTTAGTCATTTAAGGACTGTACACAGGATTCCCGATCTTTCAGATGGAATCACTGGTGGTCCATGTTTACCGGGACAGAATTCGTGCACTTTTGTTTTATTTACCAACTCGAAACAGCTAAGATTCTCTCCATTTTCTCGGTTGTGGATGGCAAGATAAAATCCAGTTTTCATACCAAATTCGCAAAAAGCAATACAAAGTGAAGTGCATGTTATAAAAAGATCATCCGCTATTCCCGGAGCTTTAAGCTATGAATGTGTTCGATTGAGTAAAGAGGATGTAACGACCAAACAAAAGGAAAGTGAAACTGTGTGTACAACACATTTCTGATACTTTCCGCACCACCTGTTATCACGACGATAGATAAAAATCTTACAGCAGTGACTGTTGATGGGATCTGCTTAAACGGTCGATTGGGATTGTTTAATGCTACAATTGATGTCACTATCTGAAGGTTCTCCTTGAACCCAGATGCTTTCGAATTTCAACTAAATAATTTTTAGCGAATATATACTCATTTGCAAACTAATTTCGTTTTGCGAGAGACTCCCCTGGAACTCTCGTTCGTCACGTTTTCAGGCAACTGAATATGCTGCACCAGGCCGCCTTATGTTTCAGTCGTTACGATATTCGAGATATCGCGATACATGTATATCTTTTTAATGTACTACTCATGAGGTTGCTGTCGACGGATTTCCAGCAACCTTATGAGTAGTACATCACAAAGATAACTCATTTTTTATTTCAACTTGGAAAAATTGTAGTAGCCTTTGACCCTTGGACTAATCAGTCCCATTTGAAACTATCGGAAGGGCTAAAACGCATTTTCGCGGAATAAAAGGTCTAGAGGAGGGGGGTGTCCAGAATGGGCCATAATTGACGGATGGCCGAGCTCGAGATAGCTCAGTGTCTAAGGCGCGAATTTGTTTACCACTTGGTCCGTGTCCCGGATCCAACTGCGGGCGTCTAGACGGACATTGTCTAGGCTTGGGCAATTTGACATTACCCCAGCAGTCGAACTTGCCTTCGGGTGGCATGGTCCCCAGAAGCCGAAAGGTGTTGCAGCTGAACGCCCTAGTGGCCGAGGACACTTTGTAGAGGGTTCCCTTTGAATGTAACTGAGATCAGTATGCTGTTTGTATTACCTTATGAATTTCACGAAGTTTAAGGAATACAATCATCTCTGGAGAAAAAAGTGAATCGATTGCGCACAGGCTCACGCCTGCTGTGCATGCTGTCAAAGTTAGATCCTAATTCACTTCATCCGCCTCACCAGTAACAGCACTATCGAAATTAAAGCGCAATAAGTGTCACAACTGTCATTTTCAAGTGCAGTGCAGCACACGTAGAACCATGCAAAAAACGGATGTCCTCCAACAGCGATGTGTTAATTTTGCAGTCCTTTTCAAGTTTACCACATGGGGCAGGTTATACTAATCTGATGGCCCTAGTTGAAAATTACTAATCAGTCCTTATCACGGAAAATATGGTTTCTCGATGCTATTGAGCATATGACCTCCATTTAATGTTCCTTCTGTAATGACCTTTTGCTCTTCAGTTAAACAAGAAACTGAAAACTTAGTGAGGGATGTCCGAAGGTGTATTGTAGAAGTGACCACCTTTGAGGATAAAAATGTGCGAGCAAAACGAAAAAGCGGTCCGGTATCCCCTGACTCGATCTAGCGGATAGTGAACCCGTGTATTTTTAAAGGTGTGTTTAGTTGCCCATATTGTCTGGATATTCGCAGCTGTTGAAGACTAGTCGTACGATGAATTGGCTACGTTCGTGATTGGAACTGCTCATATGAGAGTCACCAACTGGTAGAATCCGTTTAACGGAGTTACTCATTGACATTTGAGTTTCTACCCTTTAACGTGTAGGACGAGGGCGACCTAACACCCTTTCGGTCCTTGGCTGCCATACCACCTGGGGGATTCACGAGGGTCGGGACACTGCCAGGTTGCCCAAACCTAGACAGGGGAAGTCGAGAGTTAGAGGTCGGGTTCAAATCACGGACTTTCCGACTAGTAAATTCGCGCTCAAACCACTTAAGCTATCTCGCCCCCTATATTTGTGAAAGGCTGCCCTGCAGTCTTTTTCAACATGTGTGACCTGTCCCTATTTTTCGTGACAAAACCCAGACTTTGGTTAGACGAGTTTAGCTTAAGTCAAGTGGTGCGGTTGCGGGAAATGTCATTTGGTTGAAGCCTATTAAGCCTTCAAGGTGTGATTAAACGGTCAGCTCTCAGTGAATACCAGAGTACTTGAAGCAGGATAATACACTCACATCGGTTCTTAGGCCAGGTCATATACTTCCCTAATAAATAACCCTACCCTAAGTAGCGAGATACACTCAATTGCATACCAATTTGGTTTTGACGGGAGACTCACCTAGCTGAATCCCTCTCTTATGATGTTTCTAAGCAACTGAGAATGTGCTGCACCAGATTGCCCCGTGTTTCAGTTGGTACACACAATATTCGGGATATCCCGATATACAGCCTTATGAGTAGTGCAGTACGTTTAACCCTGCTCCAACGTTTTACAGACCAACTCACTGTTGTTAACGTATGTCTCTTGCAAACGAGGTTGTGCCACAACACTTAATTTTGTGTCTCCATGGATGAGCTACTCAAAACACATCGAACAGGAGAAATTCAGATTCGGCCTGAGTAAGAGACAGACACAGGTCGAGAAAACAAATTTCATGGTGCAGGGCTAGAGTAGACACAACAGAATTTAGTAGAACAATAATTACTCGATCTTATCTGGTTGTCTTGCCCTCTTTTCTATTATCAGTGAGTTCTCTCCAATCCAAGTAATTTCTTCAAGTGGGGGGCAAAAGCCACGTCATTTTACAGAAAGTGATACGTTAATATGAATGAATATCTACAGTATTTTTGTTTCGGTGGAAGAATTCGAAAGCTCGAACCCAGCAAGCTGGCTGGGAAGGGCAAAATATGTAGAGGGCTCATCACACACTAGTATTTTCGATTTATCAACCGCATTTGCCCGACAATCATACTCAAGTTACAGCTTGTGCGCATTTAGCTTTTTCAAGTCCGATAACTCAGGTCTTATATACATTTTTTTTAGAAATATGTTCATCTTGCTGTGATGGCAACATTACAACGAAGTTGATTTTACCCCTGCTTTATGAGTTCCAGCCAGGCGTGTTCATTTGCTCACTCTTTCGCTCTACCAGAAGAAAGAACGAGGCGTGGAAGAACTGTTAGCGCGCTGATGTGCTTTCGACTTTTGTGCAAACGATTAAAAGTGATCAGACCTTCTTGTGAACTTTTAGTTTATAAAAGTTCAACTTTTGTTGATTCATTAGCACATATTTCGGATCGCTTTGAAATGCCGGCTCTTTCCTGTTACTTTACAGTTAGACAGCCAAGAATCCGAAACAGCGGTGTCTTTCTATGTGAACCCGACGTCAGAACCCCGGTGTAATCCTGATCTGACCGGCACGTCACCGTCGGACAAAACTGGTTCTTGGACTGTCTGCCTGACCAAAGTGAAATAAGACCCACCAGCCTAACATCTTCAGCGAAGACCTCTATTTACTTGTATCTGTATCCGCCTTTTCGTTATGTTTATCTGCTATACTCCCAAACTGTCATATTCCACTTAATGATCTAATCAGGGTTCCACCTCTATTTTTTCTACTGGAACTCCAAAGGAACCACTTCGCTTTGGGTCTACTCTCCACATATCGATAAGATTTGTTGTCCTGATCTCAAGATGCTATTGAACGTACATATTGTGTTCTCATTCTGTTACTCACTACCCATTCGATGTAAAGCTGAGGAAATTCGGAACTTTAAGGGGGTTCAGGTTCGTACACCTGAGGTGGGTTAGTCGCGGCTGGTGTTTTTGTTCATCTCGCCTTATTTGTTTATAAGCGCACTAACCACAGTGGTCAGTGAATGTCAGCTGACCTGCTATGAGCTTCGTTTGACACGGACTACAGATAACTTCATTGCTCCCAGTCGATACTGGCGATGAAATCAGACTGGGTGATCTGTCGGGCATGTTACCAGGTCGACTGTTTCCTCCTTGAATGTGGCGTAATGCAACATGATGAAATGCAGTGAGAAAGCAGACAGTTGTTGCTCGCCTAGGGGAAACCCTCCAGTCCTCATGTAAAATTCACTCGTATGCCTTTTTCTCAGTTCAACTTTTGAATCCATTTGTATCGTATGGTGATTTCCGTTTCTGCTTAACCCTGGTAAATCTAAGTTCCTTTTTCTTTGACGTTCGAGTACCCCATAGCAAAAAATGTAGTCACAAATACATTCGGGGGACTTTGCAATTAAGTAGAAATAGTTTGCATTATCAAACGGTTAGAACAGTAGTTCAACTTCATAAGAAATGCCCATACAATTCACACCAAGAAGACTATCCTTGCGGTTTCCACTTTCCACGTTGTGATTGAACTTGCTCATCTTTGCACCACAGCTTTAGTGCCTGGACACAAGATTTTTCGGGCCCCCTTTTTGCGGTACGAATTCTCCATGCTATCGAAACCCTCTATTTTATGAGAAGGAAAGGTTTTAACTTTTCAGTCAGACAGCTAAATTACGTTAAGTGGGAGTCTAAATTCGTGACGTCATGTAATTCGCTAGATGAGGATACTTGGATAGTTCAAGCTGGGGCACCCCTTTGAGGGTACTATAACCTGAGAATCTTCATCTGTGGAACAAGACCCACCCGAGAGTACAGCACTCAAAACGATTGTGCGTGCACCAGTTTTCCACCATTGCACCCGCAGTAATTATGTACCTGTATGTACATCACGATCCGCTCCTTGTCTTGCAATTAGTTCCTAGATGTGCTCGTAACAAAGACTCACCTAGAACCCAACTGAATCTCTCGTTTATGATGTTCGAAAAAACCAAATTAGTTTGCAGATGAGTGTATATTCGCTAATTTCGTGCAATTTGGTTTCAAGTAGAACATAAGGTTGACGGAAACCCGGGGACTACGCCTATCTGATGAGCCCCAAGAAGGGTGAAACCGGTCGTGGGCTGTCGATGGATTTCCAGCAACCTTATGAGTAGTACATTACAAAGAACGAAGACACTTCGGGACATTCCGAAATAACGGCTACCCGAGGAATTTCATATGGAGGTGCTTACGAGACCACCACCAAGCGGATCCGTCAACACAACCAGAACAGAGGAAGATTACGCTGCCGCATATCATAAACGTAGCGGAGATGACTGCACATCTACTGCAACATGGAATTCCAGTTGACTTCAAGCCAACAAACACGTTGAGAAGAACTCTCTCGAAACCAAAGGGAAGGTTGGATGCTTAGAAGAAGACTAACGTGGTCTACAAACTTGAATGCAACGACTGCGACAAACATTATGTTGGCCAAACGGGAAGAAAACTTGCTACGAGAATACACGAACGCAAGCTTGCTAGCAGAAGACATGACCCAATGTCACTCGTCTCACTTCACGAAGACAGAGGAGTACACACGTTCACTTGAGACAGTGTTCAAATACTCGCTCACGCAAGAACAAAACCGGAGCGAGAATTTTCCGAGGCGTGGTACTCCACACACAATTCGATCAATAAACACATCGACATTGACCCAGTCTATCAGCCGTTACGAGCGAAAGAACCACACAGTCACGGGACTCGGAGCTAAGAAACCTAACGGCAACCAACGGACTAATTGGGTCAAAGGAAGACAATCACGAAAAACAGAAGGCCAATCAAATGAGCAAAACCCACCCCACAAAGCAAGAAGGAAACGACCGAATCACAGCAGAACAACCACACACAGAACTGCCGAACTGAATGCACCCAACGAACCAACCAGACACAGGAGATTGAGACCACATCAGATTCACAGAAGACCAATCAAAATACACGACGACCGTTTCCAGAGCTACCAGATACTGTTTAGAAACTATATAATCACAGGCAGAAGAGGAGGAATTCACCCACTCAACCCTGCACTGACGATGTCACCTCGATTGGTGATGAAACGTTTGCAATCCGACTGCGAAGCTCGGCGAACAGACCAACAACCAAACAGCGCACCCGAGCCACCTACATTTCACAACATTGCTAGTAGTTTTAATGTCAGTCTTCCTCACAACGAGAGAGAGAGAGAAAGAGTAAGCAAGGAGAATGCGTGGAAAACCCTGTGAAGTATTAATGTCACCACATCCGGCTGTTCTCATCCTTCTGCAAGCCGGTCATACGTGGAACAAATTCACAATGCAGAAAAACATGAGGTGCTCATTCACAGCTAGACCTCAAGTAGACCTTACCAGAGGACGCAAGCGAGTTTATCGGGGGATCATAGTTCCTAATGTTCGTATGCAAATTCATAATAACCGATGAACGTTTCTGGTTTCCTAGTTTACCTTGGGCTGCCTGGCACTTTAATGACCAGGAGCTTAAATTTGTTCAACAAATGAAACCAACCAAATTTGTCTCGCTTTTCCACATATGTGTAAATCAGAATGAGTACTAATCACCAATCCATAAGAATAGACTAATTTCCAAATAACAACAGTACAGTAATAATAAATAGTCACTCTGCTGCAACACCCTTTCGGTATCTTGCCGCCATGCCACCCGAAGGAAGCACGAGGCCTGGGATACCGTTTGGTTGCCCATGCCTAGACAGGGGAAGTCGAGAGGCTGAGATCTGGTTCAAACCGCCGGTTGTTTACAAAAGCCATCTAAATTTGTCCAATAACTTTGGGTGGAGAAATCTGCGTAAAAGAAAGTGCTTGCTTCATCACCATCAGTTGCACGGCACAGTATTTCTTGGATGAAATCTCATCAACAGATCCCTCTCTCTGATGAATGGGGTCTTAGATGTTGAGTTGCGCAACAATATTTAGATCTACCTGATGACCAGATTACAACAGGGAGTCGGCAAGCGACCATCCGCGAACGTATTTTGGTGACCAGTCATTTGGGGGAAATTGGGTCATTGCCGGAAGCAATCCTTTTGAGGTATGTAAAGCCACGCCCCCTGATAAAAGTCGATTTGTTCTACCGATGTAAGTGTTTCTGTTGTCGCAAGGAAACGGTAGATTTGAAGGACGAATAAGAATTCTTACGTTGTACATTGTATTTTACGGCCATTCACCTTTATGCATCTACAAGGAAGTAAGAATTTCTCAACTTCACTGCATGTTGGCTTTCTTCGGGTGCAAGACTGTGATTGAAGGCACCTCAGTTCAGCACTTGAGAGGAGTTTGATTATGAAAGATATATTCCTTCTACCGCCGCTCATCCAGCTTTTGTGCGATCGCAGTCTACCAGCGAGGAGAAGATAAAAAAAGCCCTAGAGGCTCAGGATAATCCTGCTGACCTTCCCGGTGATTCAGCCTTAAAAAGCTGTGCGGAGCCTCACATGTTTGGTCGAGAATGACTACTTCTCGCCTGCAGTACGTCCGCCTACAAACTTACATAATTCTCCTGCCAAATGTGACCAGAATCCTAACGATCCTATGAAACTCGTCCATGATTTGATGGACAATAAGTGTACTGGTACACAACGGGTGGTATCATCACTTGGAATGATGGTTAAACCCCCCTCCTAAGAGCGCAGCCGAGCTCACTATGCTGAGGCTGAATGAATACGTGATCAGCTGACAGTCTGATAGCATGCGCGTGACGTCCGATTCAAGCTGGTCCATACTTCAAGTTAGTTGTCGAACCAAAATAGAAACAGTTCTGTTCGAAAGTGAATCATTAACAGGCAATCAACAACAATTGCAACGATTGCAGCCAATGTTGTGTGGCCATAATGAAAAAGGATGACTACGTGCGGAAAATGTACTCTGCTCTTCAGGCAGTCAGAATTTCTGGTTTACAACTGAAAGCCCCACTCACACAGCGGCGAATCATTCTGCGGGATTGGTTGGAAGCTTCTAATAATTTTTCTAAAACTTTGTCGTTCAGGCGTTACGTTGGTGATGATTTCTGTTTGCTAATTTTGAACAACTTGACAGCTTTCTGACTATGAAAACCTATGCAACTGTCAAGTATGACGTGTAACTTGTTTTACGCTTTTTCCCGTGAGAAGGCACGAAGAAGGGCTTCTATAAAAATCAATATCTTGAAAACTAATGTAAGGTGACTGACATATGAAATTTTCAGCCTTGCATACAAAGCTGGACTAGACAAAGTCTTTCTCTATAAATCATATTACATTTTCAATTCAGACCAAGTAGAGAAGAGTAATCGCTCCCGAAAAACCCATCAGTAACGGCTATCACGAGGACGTCGTTGACATTTATGGGACGGTTTGGTGTCAGAAGCTTACAGTACAAGAATCTCAGAGGACAGACATTTCCACAGTTGTAGCCTAATGGTGACCGGTTGACAAGGGATATAACAAGCAAAATAAATTTGCTTTTGGGTGGAGACCGCCTTATTCCAGACAGCAACTTATCTTTACTGTCAGGAGAACGGTTCTTCAAAGGACCTAATGCCGTTTGTCATAATTCTTAGCCGTTCGCGTAATCCACCGGTTCCCTTGCAGTTGCGAAAACTAAACGTCAAACAACGATCGTATTTGTCCTCTTGTCATTCTCTGTTGTGAACTAGCCATCGAATAGATCCGACATCCTTTCCAGTACGTAACTGAAACTATGAAAGATTGGTCTGTGCATAAATGTTTAAAGGCACTGCATTTGATTGTCGTGGTCACGCAATACGCGCCTTCCATACAAATCTGTCCGTCCAACGTCATTGAAGCAAATTCAGATAGCTATGG